GGGGGGAGGGCGGAGTATATATTTAATATAAAATGCAGGATATAATGTATCACATGAAAAATGTCATGTGCCGTTGATTTCGATTGTCCGCTTATAATATCGCAAAATTGCATAGAATTTTCTCTCCAAAAAGTGATACAGAATTAATTTTCCATATTGAAATGTGGATATTTAATTCAGAATAACTGTATTGCGTCAAATGGCCGGATTCTATTATTCGGCTCGCGTTATTTCGTATCGATATTTTTTTATTAGCTCGACGGGACGGACTGTAACGTAGTTTGATCATTGCGAAGCGGCGCACCTGATACCCGGCGATACCGTAATTCAAGGAAAGGTGATTCTAATGCCCGTGAAACGTGGCTATTTTATTACCACCAACCAAAGGGAAAAAAAAACGAGACTGAAGTTTTGACCATTCGCAGCTGTTTCGCCATTCGATGGCGTTACTACGGGCAGTATTTTACGTCGGCGGAAGGGAGGCGTTGTCGATGGTCCTTTTGTTCCCATCAATTTGTTGATGAATTTGAGCCATATATTAGTCGATAATCCAATTCGTCAATAATGTCCGCTGATGCATCGGTCGGATTATTATTAAAACGGTTTGGCGTGCTTGCGCCGCACGTTGGAAGCACTAAGGCTTTTATTCGGCCTCGAAACAACGCCACGATTTTGTTACTCTGCCGTTAAAAACTATATAATTTCTACTTAAATACACTGAGGACGCGACATATTTACTACAATGCGATTCTTAATTAGAATGTAATATAAATATATAATTGAAATATATCGTATGTATACTTCAAATAAAACAACATTGTTTGAACATGAGTATTACATTTGTTTTTTATAATTTTTATATTAATGAAAAATTATGAAAAACTTACAGATTATTCTAAATCGTATTTAAAAATTATACAAAAAGCTTCAGCAGTAGTAAAAATTGTTGATCAAAAATTATTTAAATAAATAAGTAGAAACATGCTCTAATAGAAATGTAAAAAAAAATATCATTTTTTAAATTATTTTATATATTAAATATTCAAGATTATTTATGTAAAGTTTCATTGCAATTTAATTTTTATTTACAAAACAACTAATTGCTGTGTCGCAATGAAACTTTACATAAATTATCTTGAAGTACTTATATAAAAAAAATTGATATTTTTATCATTATTTCTGAATTAATTCTGAATTTCAATTAAAGCATACTTTTACTTTATATTTAAATACATTTTTATTCAGGTTTTAAATCAAAATCCGCAAAATTTTTGTATTATTTTTCAGATCTAGAATAATCTTTCTAGATTAATTCTTTCATTACATATAAAAATAGGTGTAATACGTCCTATTTAATAGCTATATACATTAAATTTAATAACATGACCATGTCGAACATATTCTCTGAAAATGTATGAGTCGTAACATGAAACTTCGTCATTTATTACTTTTTGCGATACAGACGAAGATCTCGCGCCGTTTAAAGCCTTTATTACGACTAAATTGCGTGGCACTTAGCCTTAAACGTCGTTAAGCGCTGAGAGAACTCTACTTTATTTCACTGTTCCCCTGCAGGAAGAGTCAGGACAAGAAGCAGCAAACGGGAACATGAATAGAAAACAGTAAGGGATTCAGCATAGTCGTTTCGATACTTAATACTTCCTTTTAAATATCTGAATGTCGAAGATTACAATCTTAGGAAGTTAATGTACGGCACGATTTTTCACTGCC